GGGGGGGGGATGTATCAGAACTTACCGCAGATTTGATTGGTATAGGTTTCTGACTACCATAGGCTATAGAACGAATCTGTTCTTCAAGGAGTAAGATCTTTTTCTGCTTTTCAACCAGTTTATCTCGTAATTCTTTGAGTTTTGACTCATATTTGACTTTGATGGATTCCATCTCTTCTTGCAGTAGGCTTATCTAGAAGAAAATATTGAAAGAAGACGTAACCACACAGCCATCCTATCGCTTTGTGTAATTGCACCAATCTTGAAGAAATTGTCCCGCCGAATAGCTGGGTAATATGAAAGTATGAATGAAAAATCATAGAAGAGAAACTTGTTTTCACAAGAAGCAATGAAAAGGAAAGGACAAAACTGAAAAAGGTTTGCAAAAGTAGAACTCGTCATTCAAGCCCTGACTATCCAGCAAATTCAACGAAATTGTGCGATTACACAAAGTGACTGTTTTAATGAGAACGACTATGACCGGTACCCTACCTCTGAGTTCTGCTTTTGATTGATGTCGTGCTGAACTAAGAGCATATTCCGCAACTTCTCTAGCTCGTCATATAAGGACGCGTACATCTTTTTCCACCTTAACATTTTTTGACATTGTTGGAAAAAATTAGCTGCAATAATTACTTCGCCAATTTTTCCGCTGGTCCACCGGCTTCAATTATGCCATCGTCGTAGTTATCGTGTGTCTCTAATATTGCCGAGACATCACGATATAACCTCTCCAAGATGTCGTCACCATTTTCGCCCTGAAATAAAACAATTAAAAATTGGATGGCAGACAAACAAAAGCATATGTTCTTATATTTTGATACTATTACAGTCCTTCTTCCGTGATGAATTTTTAGAGAAAAAATGAAATTGTGACAATCGTCACCAAATAATATGTTCCACCCCTTTATTTCTAACACACCAGAATGCATGTTTTGTCTTTTGCATGATGATTCGCTTCTTTTGCATCAAGCAATAATTCACTGATGGTTCAGTGAAAAAGCATCGTCAGCAGATGTTGCTCAATATTGCCCTTTTTCCTACACATTTCGGCTGCTCTGCTTCCGCTTGCCGTCTTCCCATATGGATGAGAGTTTTCCCCTTTTGTCATTTTTCCGCGAGCCAGTATTTTATAGCGTACTTTTCACAAACGGTCTTGAGCACAATGGAAAAAGCCTTCTTATCATGCACATCTTGGTGTTGATAATCTTCTCAAGCAAAAAAATTAGGCTAAAAAGATTCTTACGTTTTGGGGAGGACTCAGAAACTGATTCTTTCCTCCCCGCGAAGGGCACAAGTGAAAGAAAATTAAGGATCGATTTCCGAAGAAT